GAGCTCAGGAAGGGGGGGGTGGGATAAAAAAGGAGGGGAGGTGGCGGCGTGGCGGTTGGCGGTGGGGAGGGGAGGGAAGCCTTTTAATGACTCATTGATTGAGCCGCTTTCAAATTAGTTGTGTGCGCCGAGTGTGTGCGAGTGTGTGTATTCCGCCCCCCGGAGCCGCCCGGGAGCCGCGGAGGAGGGAGCGGGGCTCGGCGGGGCCGCGAGCAGGGGGCGAGGGAGGGCCTGGCGTGACGGCGGCCGAGCAAGAAAAATCTGCTTTCCCAATCTCCTCCCCTCGCTTCTTCATACACCCCTGCGGTCCCTTCTCTCCCACTCCCTTCCTCGGAAGCTCTTGGGTGTGAATCGCCTTTTCTTGCTTCTCAGCAAAATGGGGCCGGCGTCGGCCGAAGCGCGGGGAGGGAGGCGCCAGGGACGCCGGGGACGGCCAGGAGCTACATTTTCAGCCGGGTGGCTCCCTCCCTTCCACGGCATCTGCGCGAGGGAGAGGCCGGGGTCGAGGCCGGGCCCGGGACAGCGCGGGCCGCTCGGCCTCCTGGGCCTCATCCCCGGCCTGGGCCGCGGCGCCAGCCCGCACTCGGTCGCCGGCGGCCGGCGAGGCATTGCCGGGGACCCGCGGCCCCGAGCCTGGACGAGCCTCCCCTCCGCGCTCGCTCGGCCGTGCGGGGCCGCTTGAGGCCGGTGTCAGCCGGCGAGCCGGGAGACGAAGGACCGAGGCGGACGGTGGCTTTTGAGAGTGGCTTTTTGCTTAATTTTTTTTTTTTTTGTTCTTGTCTTTGGTCTTATTTTTAACTTTTTTAGCCGAGAGGGCTTCGCGCTCCCCCCCCCTTCCCGAGTCGCCCCGACAGTGGCTTCTCAGGGTGGGGGCGGCGGGCGGAGGGCGCTAAGATGGCGCTGGGCCTGGCCTGCGGCCAGGGCTGGTGGCGCAGTTGCTCGGCGGCCGCCATCTTCCCTCGCGGCGGGCGGCGCCCTGTGTGCAGGGAGGCAGGCCGGGAGCCGGAGCCCCCGCGGGCCGCAGGGTGCTGTGGATGGAGCCCGCGCGGCCATCGCGACCCCAGACCCAAAGGCTGGCTCGCTGGGTTGGGCGCAAAGGGGCGGCGGCGCCTTGCTTTCCATCTTTTGTCTCAGGCCGAAAACAGTGGGATGCGGTCGGCTTCCGGGGTGCACGGGCTCCGTCCCCGACGCCCTGCAGCCTGCTGGGTTTTTCTCCTTTGACCTCGGGCTGGACGGTTTAGTCTTCCAGGCCCCGGCCGACCTCTTACTCTGTCCCCTGGATTATTGGGGTTAGGGTCCCAGTTTATAAAGCCAACAACAGGGCCGGTGTGCCTTCCATGCTCCTCCTGGACGCTTCGTTTTATCCGTTTATGTTTAGTTGGTTGTATTGTAAAACAGTCCGGAGAATACCTGGTTCAGATTGTGGGAACGTGACGGTTGCCAGTAATTTCTGGTTTGGGCCTTCATAGTACTCCAAAAATAAGTCTCTTTTACGCTGCCGTGAAGAAATTCAAATAAGCTTCAAATGCACTTTTTCACATTCTAAAAGACAAAGATTGTTTCCTTATATACCAGGGAGGTGTGTGGCGTTCTTAAATAGTTACAGGAGCGCAGTCTGGAAAGGTCAGGAGTACTCAGAGGTGGAAATAGTTAATTTTCTAATGGGTAAAGGCAACATAGTGGCCTTGGTTTCTTTGTCTTTCCGAATACAATAGTGTAGGTGGTGGATGGTAAGGGCCAAGCCACAAGTCCTGCCACATAGTGAACACTGCTAGTCCGGGGACTGTTCGGTTCTTTAAATACGTCCTGTTTGTTCTTTCATCCCAAAGAACTGTTTTACTAATCTAGTTGTCCAGGTTGTGCCATTTTAAGCAGCAAAATTTGCATTCCACAAAAACCTCCACACCTATGATTTCTGCATCTTTATTATGAAAATTAACTGGGAGACGTTTTAAATTACAGATTTGCCATCTCTGTTGTTTGCCCAGACCCGCTGTGTCCTTAAGTAATGTGGTAGGCAGCTTGAGTTTGAACGTGCTACTTCCACCTCCAGGACTGAAATTCGGGCGTACTCACCAGGGAATAGTCTGAATAAGGGTGCATTGTCCAGAGCCCTGCGGAGAGCCTAGCACAGTGCAGATTTGGAGCATCGTGTAACGAGTACACTGTGTTGCTTTTATTGGGGGAGGTGGGGTGTGTTGCAACATCACAATTGAGGTCCATATTATTTTAGTTTGTTACTGCTTATCTTATTTTTCTCTTCCTGCCGTTTATTTTAATTAATTAATTAATTAGTCATTGAAAACATGTCCTTGCAGAAAGCAAGCTTAGATATCCTGAGACTTTAAAATCTTACAAGTAGAGCTGGCTTCTGAGTTTTGTTGCCGGAGGGTTTTTTTGTGTTTTTTTTTTTTTTTTTTTTTTTTTGTATGTGTGTAGG